ATTCCTGGCGGAGGAGGCACCACATCGGCAGCACCAAAATCAGGAGCAGCAATAACGTCAGGGGTTTTAAAACCGCCTTTTCGCCAGCAGTTTTCTATCGTACTCTTCTTCACCTGCTTCCATGCATCTCCCAACATGTGCAGTGCTTGGAGCAAATTCATCTTCTTTGCAACTTCAGGGCCAGTTGCTTGGTCGTTTTCATCAACTGCATCAACAATAACCTGGCGAATGGAATGTTGAAAATAAGCTTTTAGCGTCCGAATTATGCCCTGATCGCTCAGTTGCAGGACTGACGTCAGATTTGCAGGCAAAAGATTTACAATGATGTTCTTCAACCCATGGACCTCGACATGCGCAGAGCAGTTGTCGCGAGAAGCAGAACGTTCCTGTGTTCGTTGCCCATTTTCAAGTCAAGATAGCGAAGCCACCGCTCCCAGATAAATCCCGTCATCCATGCATTCCAGGAGTAATCATAAGTTAGTGGTAGATCCTTGACATTTTTGAAGCACCTGGGGTGTTTTTACTTCCCAATGACCATCAAATCTTCTTTCGTTCCCTCCATGGCAAAAGCGAATAGCGCAGTTATGCGGTCTTTGGCCGTTTTGAATCCTTTGCAGTCACTTTTCGTCTTCTTTTGCACGTATGTACGGGACGAAATAGCTCAAAAATAAATTCCAGTTTCGTCTGCATTCAGAATGTCTTTGGGATGATAAGTTTTGTTAAATGTTGGGAAGCACGTCTTTGATGAAGTAGGCGACAGCAGGAAGATTGGCTTCAGCAGCACATTTTGTGAACACGACCCCACTGCGAACTTTCCAACGGGAAAACCAACCGTCTGTGGCGCGAAAATCTTGGTGTCCGGCTTTTTCGGCAAAGGACTGAGCTTTCGCACACAAGATCCTCCCATTCAACGGAATATTTCTCACAGTTGCGAATTCCCACCACTCGGAGAGAGCCTTTTCTACTTCCGCATCGTTTCCATCACAGTGTCTCTTTATGCTGCCATTCTCCTTGGCTTCCTCGCGAATCACAGCGTCCTTGTCCAGAAAGTTTCGTAGACCTCCGCGTGAACTTCCAAGCTTCTCAGCAGCAGTTCGTTCGCTCTTCTTGAACTCAGGAGTCAATGCATGGTAGGCGTCGAGTTTTGCCACTTTCTGGACAATCGACAAGTCGACACATGATGATAGCTTTCGTTTGGCTATGGTGCAAAGCCTTTGAATGAAATCAT